GAGATGACCAGTGATGTTAACACAGGTTACAGGTTCAGAGAGTTTAAAGTGGAACACCCAAGCAGGGGTGTTAGGTATGGCAATTGGTAGGGAACCTTCGGGTGGACTCCTTAAATAGATAATATAGAAAAGTTACATGTGTAGCCAATTGTATGCTCTCCTGTAGTGGTTCATTGAATCACAATACTGACAAGTGATTAATAAAAGTCAAAAGACCAAAGAGGTCACCTTAATACCAAAAAAAATAAAATAAAAATAAATAATAATATATAGTTATGAAATTAGTTTATTGAAAATGCAAGGTCTAAGCAATAGTTTAGAGAATATGTTACTAGAGCAGTTAAAAAAGAATATTATAGACAAGCATATAAAATACAAGTTTTATACAGATGAGTTATTAGTAAAAAAAGAAAAGGAGTATAAAATAGGTGTAAGTTGGATACAAGTTAATAAAGATAAAAAAAAGGTTATAATAGAGGGTAAAGTTAAATTAGAGAAATGGCTATTATCAACAAAAGCAGAATTAGCAGTAGTATTAATAGTAGTTTTAGTTGTAGTTATTAATAGTAGAGTAGTAATTAAATTAGATAGTTTAGCAACAATTACAAACTTGAAAAAAGAGAAGTCTATGTATAATGTTAGAACATAAAGCAAAATCAAAAACTTCAAATTAGTAATAAAGATCAAAGATATATGCAGATCAAAAAATATCAAACTAGTGCTAATTAAGGTTAAAGCACATAGTAGAGTAGTATGGAATAAAAGAGTAAACAAACTCATAAAAAAAAGCATATTGTTAGATGAATGCTCAGACTTGAAACTTAAAAGAAACTGCTGATTTCCATGTACACTGTACTAAAAAGAATCAGTAGTAGAAATACCTACAAGAAAGTTTATGAAAACATTAATGAATATGATAAATAGTACTTAGTGATAGTACTCAAAGGTGATTAAGGAGCTTGAACTAAATTCTGAAATTTAAAAAGATTAGAAAGCATTGTAAAAAGAAAATAAAAGTTTAATAGAAGTCAAATGTAAATTACTAGATGTGAATAAGAAGATAGCATTTAGAATTAAGTATATAAGCAATAGTTTATCAGTTCTTAATATACTAAAGAAGAGAATACCAGACATATATGAGACAAATAAATATAAAGAATGCTATGAAGAACAAGTGACATTAATACACTTACTTAGATATAAAAAGTACAGTAGATATTGGAACAATATTGAAGAGTTGGCATGCTGATTAGTATGAAAAAAACTTGATAAAATAGATAAAAGCAAGGTTACAAAACTTGAGTTAAACAAGATACTTATTGGCAAAACTGAAGCAAATAAGGTTAAACATCATAAGTTATATATATGTCACATCTAAAGTAGCAACTTATTTGAAGTAGTGCCTGACTAAAATTAAGTTCCTGAAATTAGATCGTCATATATGCATTAGATTTTAATTTTAACCAGGATGCTACTTTAGATAAATCATTACTTCAGATATGACATATACATGACTTAGTAATAGAAAATATATTTAAGGAATTATATATGAAACAAATATTACAAAGAGGTACAAAACATTCTGTAAAACTATATATCAAGTTTGTAAAAAAGATGTTTAGAGAAGAAATATAATAAAAAAGATGCAAAACAGTAATCAAATAGAAAGATAAGAATGAAATAATCTCTAAAGTAAAGTGATGCAGAATGAAGAGAGATAAAGATGAAAGCTACAGTTTAAAGAGAATCAAAAGTAAAAAAAACAACAAGAAAAGTATATCAAATAAGACAAAAGTTAGTAAAGATAAAGAAAGAAAAACAAAATGTGTTTAGTTATTTAATAAAGAGGTAGATAAACTAGTATAAAATGGAACTAATTCTTTCTGGTTTAGTTCTTGACAGAGCTGATAAAGTCTTTTAGTTTAAACATAAACTGGTATAACAAGTCACATTTGAGTGCAGTTTCTGTATTTAGGTGATGCTAAGCTTGCAATTTCAAAATGTGGATTACTAGAAATAGTTAATGTTTCAAATAATAAAATTTTATATTTGAGCTTCAATAAGACTATCAAAAAAAAAATTACTAATTTTTTATATAGTAAACTAATTTAAATAGGTAATTTTCTTTTTACTATAATTTTTTTTTTATATAATAATCATAGTTGAAATTTTGCAGATTTATACATCAATGTTATACCAAAATACTTGTGTAATAGCACAAAAAATACTTAATTATGATTGGTTAATTTAGAAATATATCAAAATATTTTAATATTTTAATTTTTTTTTAAAAAAAATTGACCAATTTTGAGATTTTTTTAAATAATATATAATCAAAATTTAATTTAATTTTTTTTTATAAATATATTCTATAAATCTTCAAATATTAAATATATTTATTTAATTGCAAGTTAATATGTAAAATTTTGTGTAATTACATTTTAATTCAAATATATCAAGTTGATGTATTATGCTTAATGAGATGACCAATATCTAATTATAATCTATTGACTAAATTTTTATTCTATTATAAATTCTATTGCTCTATTCTATTGTTCTATTTATCTATCGCTGCCAACACTAATTATAAAATACAATTTTCTATAATACTATATTGTTATGCAATTTAGCAGTTTAAATTGTAAAAATGCTAAAATGCCAATGTTCATAGTCCTAACTGTATATGTTATGCGTCATTTCTAAATTCTTAATTGACACGTCATTTTTCAATTTTTACCGATTGAAAAATGACTTGAGCCAATTCTTAGTGCTGATTTCTTTAATAGACATACGTATCAGTATAATATTGATACGTAATGCGTAGTATATTCGACAATCAGGAATTTACGCACTCAAAAAATCTGTGCCAGGTTTTGTCGATCATTGTCCTGATCCACAAATCAGATCTCAAGAATCAGGTGTAATGTAACACGATCAGGAAATTTCAAAACAAACGTTCGTTTTGTTAAAAATCGCCCATTTCTCAAAAACCAGTATAAAAAACCACTTTTAGTGCTGTAACAAAAAAGTTTCCTTGAGTAATTTTACTATATAATTATCTAACCTTTAACTTTATACTAAACGCTAATCCTAACGTTAATGAATTTTAAGAATTTTTACTATATTATAGTGATCGACAAAACCTGGCACAGATTTTTTGAGTGCGGAATTTACTAATTTCCCAACCACTTCTGATTGGTTCTACTAATTATTCACATATCGGAGTATCTGTGTTACGTATTAATCAATTTTATAGTCAGGCCATTTAGCCGACATCATACCATGCGATTGTGATGTCGGTGAAGCAATGATAAGCATAGTGACCAATAAAGTCATTCTTCTAAGATTGCGCATTTATAACAAAATTTCAGGCCTTGCTACCGTTCCTTAATGCCGGTGATTTTTGCCGCTTTTGGTAATCTTTTTAAAGTAATGACCAATGCGGAATACACATCCAAAAATAGAGCTAGTAACGATGGTACGAAACCACTTGATCACTTTATATAAACCAAACAGCTTAAACGTAGGGCACTTTGGAAATCCGAATTCATAATGAGCCAACAATTACAGCAGGGAGGAGTTCAATACCATATTGGAGGGTGTAAAGAACATTCTTGTAACTGTCAAAACTTTCAACATGAGATTAATGATCAGAACATATGTTTAAACTGTAAACATGATATTGGTATACACATAGACTTTGAAAAAGGTATTTATGAGCTTCTCTTTGATTATGGTTTTTTTTTTTTTTTTTTTTTTTTTTTTTAACTTCAAAATTCACATAATCGATGATTAAAAATCTTCGATATTTGAATTAAAAATTAATTTATTTGCCTAATGCATATATTTCTTTTAGTACAAGAATATAATTTTCAGAATAAGTATATTGAAAACCCGCGTTCAACAATTGAAATTCATCCAGACAATCAAAATTATATGAATCAGATGCATCAGCCAGGTATCGAACTGTTCTAATAACTATTACTTTTTTACGAATAACTTTAATAAATTTACAATAACTTTAGTGCGAGAACAACCACCCCCAAATACGATATGGTTTTATAATCGCAACGAAGAATATTATGAGTTTACGAATTTTAAAGAGGGATTTGAATTTAGAGCCTCCCTTGGTGAAATTAGCAAATCATACAAGGAACATTATGAAGAAAAAACATGGCACACAAGCGAACACCTTTTCCAAGCCGCAAAGTTTATGGAATATCACCCAGAAATCGTCGAACAGATTAGAAAGTGTCGTTCTCCTAGGGATGCATTAAACCTAGCTAGAATGAACCAACATCTGGTGGACCCAAATTGGCAGGAGATGAACGTAGAAGTTATGAAATGGGTGGTAGGAAAAAAATTTAAGCAAAATCGTATATTGGCTGAAAGGCTGTTGTCAACAGGCGACAAAAAACTTGTAGAGCATACAACTATTGATAAATTTTGGGGTGATGGGGGTGATGGGAACGGGCTTAATTGGCTCGGACGTATTTTAATGGAAGTCAGAGATGAATTGAAAACAATGAACTTCGAAGTTCAGTATCCTCAATCGTCATCGAATTCACCGTATAATGTAAATAATATTGGCTTAGGACCAAACGGTTCAGAGGGCAATCCAAAAATTCCCCCACCACTGCCACTCAGGGTAAAAAAACGTGACATGTCTAAATATCAAGGTAAAACTCTATCTAATCAAAATAAAAATCAACAACATATTCAAAATCAGGATCAACAATACAGTCAAGCTCCAAATCAGATTCAATATGTACCGGTACTTCAGCTCCAACCTCAGCACCAGCTCCATTATCAACCAACTGTAACTCAGAATATGCCTTCGGAAAATTACGTGTATTATGCGCCGCAATACGGTCAGCAGAACCTTAATAACAACCCCAACATGTAAATAGAATATTTAATACATTTGTTTTTGATATTTATGTTACAAATAAGCGCCATTAAATTTAGGTGAAGTGATGTAGATTAATATTGAATATATGATCGTAATCATCAAATAAAGATATTTAATCATTATAAAATTGATTATTGATAATTTCCGAACTTTTTGTAAATAACATTCAGATTAAAAACTTTGCTAAAATAGACTACGTGATTAGTTAACGTAAAAATTGTTCATCCGATTTCATGTTTTACGGTCACCTTTCTGGCCACTTGCAAATTATTATTGAAGCAACAATTTGCCTTAGCATTACTAAATTAATTGTAGGAGGAACAAAAGTAAATGCTACACCTACTGCTAGTACGTATTTCACAAAAATCTGTTTACTATTGTATGCGCAGTTTAGTCTAATTAAAAAAATTTTAAATTCAATAGTTACATTTTCTAAAACGAATCAATTAAAAAATATTGCTATAATGGTTCTATATAGGATTTTTATAATAAAAAGGGCTAAACTGCTCCTGGAAATCAAAATTGAGATTGTAATGTTTAGCATAACAGGAGGAAACGTACCCGATCCAAAGTGAATCCGACACACGGCGTGATAAAACTAAAATAAATAATTTTAGTTTTAATTGATCACACCGTGTGTGGGATTCACTTTGGATCGGTACGTTCCCTCCTGTTGTTTAGCATGGCTACATTTTAAATAAATTTTGAGAAACTTATTCAAAGATTCACCAATCAAAATGCCAAATGTTCAAACCGAATAAACTTGATTATCTTAAATTTTTTGGGCTCTTTCTACTACGGGCCTCATTATATATATAATTAAATCGATGTTTTGTCGATGATTTTGGTGGTTATACGAAGAGGATTAAACAAAACAATATGTAAATAGGATTCTTTTTGAAGTAAAATCAAGTGTAGTCTAAATTAAGTTTTCTATACTGCTAAGGGAAAACCTCGTTCTTGTTTTTTTGCTAAACGAAACATATGTAATACATATGTTTCGAGGTTTTCACTCATATGTGCTGACAAAATGAGTTTCATTATCACTTTCTGAAGTTTAGTACATATGCCTTCAATTACATATTATTTGTCGTCAATTAATATCTAAGATTAAGTTATATCGATATCGGTATGATTTTTGGTACTTGTATTACAATAAATACAAAAAAAAAGATTAGAAGAGCATTAACAAATTAGAAGCTAAATTATATAAAATCTTGTAAAAAATATGCATAACTTAGCAAAAAATGTTTTTAACTAAAGGACTTGCTACGTATTTATCACATGCTTAGTAGTACAGATTTTTATCGTATTTATTAACGTTAAGTATATAATACAGGTCACCCTCGTTAATATCAACCCCGTTAATATCAACATAAGCCACATGGCAAATTTTTATAAATTTTTATATATCAAAATTCTCTCATATATGTAAACTTTAATATGATTTCTAATTAATATCACTATCAACATGATTTAAAACCGATTCAAATAGGTTGATATTAACGAGGGTGACCTTTATATATCTTACATGATTGCACGATAATTTATATGAAAAAGCCAGATTTAAAAACTCACATAGATTCTTTTTTTATAAAAAAAAATAAAACAACAAATTACAATTAGGCATATCTAAAGCTTAATGATATTATAACTAAATAAATAACAATAATTTGCAATAATTACACTAAAAATTTTTAAAAATTAAATAATCTAGAGAAGCAGTTTTTTGCATTTTAGTTCTTGTTGCTGATTAAGTTAACAACTAAAATAAACAACAAAGATAACAGAGTATTTATTTCAGTAACCCAAAAGAAAAATATATAATCAGTATACATCTATATAGAAAACAACAACCTAATAAATAAGCAAAGTAAAGAAAAAAAGTACAAAACTAATTCTAATATTATTATTTTTATATAAACAATTACATATTAGAAAAACATAATAGAGAAATTTTTAAGAAAAAAATAAATTTGAATTTGTTTCAAAATTTTTTAAATATAATATTATCATCTAAAATAAGAATTTGTGAATTATTTATTTTTGAAGTCTGGCCTGGATTGCATTTAGGATTAAATTTTTTTGCCAGTTTGGTCTAATCTACATATATTAAAATTTTTTTTAACCTAGTTTACAAAATTTCTTATATAATTTTGTAAAATTTTCAAGCTATTCTGATTTGTAATTATAAAATTTTGTTTCATACTTAGTCTTGCTTATAAATTTTTGTAAGTTAAACTAGAACAAACTGAGTTACAGGACCTAATATAGGCCTCTAATCTGAAATAACAATAATAACATGTCTAATTTTAGAATTACAATAATTAATAAAAAAATTATTTTTTATAAATTTACAAATTAATTAGGTTCTAATTCAAGACTTTATTATAACTAACATAATTTCTTATATATTAGAATAATATAAAGATATAAATAAACTAATCTGGGTTAAACCAGTTTTTAAACCTAATATATTAGTAAATAATAATACAAATAAACAAAAACCTAATATGAAAATAGATTAAAACTCAACAATTAAAATAATAAAAAAGATGAAATTTATTTAACTAATATAATATTAGAAGAATAATTATAAATAAAAATATTATACAATTAAATAGTTATTAAAAGTTTTTTAGAAAAAACTAAAAAAAATCTCAAATAGATATTTTAATAGTAATAAAGAAAAAAATAATATAAATATATACATATAGAAACAACTAAACCAAACAAGCTAATAGTAGAAACATATTATAAAGCATATTAAAAGAATAAGAAATAGAAATTATAAATATGTAGATTATAAAATATTAGATTAAGTTCTCAAAACACTAACAAAAGACCAAGCAATATAAAGTATATTATAAAAGACTTAGCAATATATGACTCAAAACACATTACACTACAGAACTTACTAGTATACAGTTAGGTATTAGAAGTCTTGAAAATAGTAGAAATAAGTTGGCTTAAAAAAGGAATAATTGACAAGTAGGTAAAAAAGCTTAGATTAATAAGTTACAATCTAAGCTTATTTAAATACGATACAAATATGAAAAAAGAAAAAGTATATCAAAAAGAAAATAGAAAAAAGAAATAAGAATTTTAGTTAAAACTAACAATTTTATTAATAGAAAACAGAATTAAGAAAAAAGAAATAATTCTAAAGAATTAGAGCAGAGATTAGAAATACTAAAAAAACAAATGAAAGAGTTAAGCATTGCTATATCACAACATTAAACAAGTCAAGCTATTAATAATACTGAATATAAAAAAGAAATACCAACAAAAAGCAAAAGAATAAAATTAGAAACCATGAATATAGAAGTAACAGAACAAAAAGAAAAAACAAACAGTAAAGAAGATGAAACAATGTTTTTTATAAATTCAATTGAGTACAGTTATTAATCTTCAGAAAATTGAATATATAATAAAAATAAGTTCTTTAAAGCAAATATGCCAACATATGTCTTATCAGAAGAAACCAAAAAAGAAAGAATAAAATATGTTTAGTAGATTCTAGAGAAAAACTATTATGTTAAAACAATCAAAAAAGTATTCAAAAATAGAAATAATTAGATAGAAGTAGATTTTAACTGTAAGCATAGTAAAGATATAGCAATAAACAGGATCAAAAAAAAGAAAGAAGAATAGCTAAAACCATACCAGAAGAAACCAAAAACAAAACTTAAAATATAGAACAGCAAGAGAAGCATAATGTTAAGAGAAAAAAAAAAGAAACACAAGACAAATAGAAATTAAAAAGGACAATAAAATAGAAGAATCAAAGGTTAAAAATAAAGAAAAGAAAAAAGAAGAATACAAAAACACAAGTTAAGCAAAAGTGGAAATTAAAAATACAAACAGCTTTCAGACAGAAATGGATTTGAAGGTAGATAACTATTTAATAATCTAGAACTTACTAATAAATATCAATATAGAGAAAGTAGAACATATATGCAGAAACATCAAAGATGCCAAAATTGACTAAATCAAAAGATCTAAATACAAAGCCTTAGCAATAATACATACTAAGAGCTTAAAAAAAGAAAATATTTTATAAGCATTACCAGTTGATATACATAAATTAGCAAGAGTGTCCAAGGGCAATAAAGATTACAGCTTACAAGACCAACACAGCTAGTTTACATCAAAATTACTAAAGCTTTCTAAAAACACATTTGAAGTGTTGCTATTATAATGCTTAAAAAAGAGAGATGCAGAGAATGACAATTCTAGTATAATGGTTGAGTTGTTATTCTTCAAGTGGCAGGTCTAAAGTTCAAATTCCACCTATAATAAAATTTAAAAATTATATTTGCATTACGGTAACTGTCTCTTGTTGATCAGTTGGCTTCATGTGGCTGTTACCTAGATATACCAAGTCAGATTCTACTGACATTGAAAGCTCAGGCATCTATGTGAAATATAACATTACATATATATAGAGGAATGTATAACCAGTGTTGTATAAGACTTCAGTGCAAATCCATAATAAGACCATCAGACATAAAAGACTAAAGAACTGAGATGATGAAAACTTACTTAAAAATTTCTGAGTAAAAAGGTAGCATGAACTTTCGATAGTACCATCAAACTGGTTAAAGTTATGAAACACTTCATAGAAACCGAAGGTTAAAATTGAATATTAAATATTTGTAGAGGAGCATATAACTAACCAGGTTGCTAGATTTGCCAAAGAAAAAAGATACAGAGTATACTATACTAAGCCATCTGGATTGGTAGTCTGAAATAAAACTAATGGTTCTGAGTTGTGGCTAGTAGGTGAAGATGCTAATAAGATAGATACTAGAGTTCTAATAAACTTTACAAAGATAAAAATAGTGTAATATAGTAGTTAAACAGATAACTTGTGACTGCAAATGTTAGATAACTATAGCATGTTGCATAAAATTAGATTTATATATGTGGGACATAAAGGCTCTAGTAAGTTTTCTGTTGAGAATAAACTAGTCCTAAGGGTAACAACAAGC